GACCTGGATGACTAAGAATCTTCACAGACATAAAGCAGCGAGGAAAGGGAGAGGAACAAGCTACACATGCTTTTATTTCTTCTTGTTTAGACTACTGTAATGCACATTATATCGGTATAAATCACAACGCACTTTCACGCTTACAGTTAGTCCAAAATTCTGCAGCACGTCTTTTAACAGGAACCACAAAGCTTCCTGTTCGTTTTAGGATTGATTTTAAGATTTAGTTTGTTTTTAAAGCTGTGAATGGACTGGCCCCAACATATATCTCGGACCTCATCCAAATTTATACGCCAGCGCGGTCACTGAGGTCAGAGGGACAGCTCCAGCTTGCGGTCCCCATGACAAGACTTAAAACTCGGGGGGGACAGGGCTTTTTCTGTGGTTGGACCTATGTCCGAACAGCCACTACACATTTTTATTCTTTGGCTTTTAACTCCGCGTGAGTTGTGTGGTCCTCTGATGTCTTTTATTGTTTTACTGTATTTTAGTATTTAAACCTGATGCTCCTATTTTGTTTTTACAAAATTTTATATTAATTGTTTTGTATGTTTGAGTCTTCTGTGCAGCACTTTGGTTTTGTGTTTGTAAAATGTGCTATAGAAATAAAGTGGAATGGATTATATGCTAAATGTGTATCAAAAAATAATTTAGTGTGAAATATGATTTATGGTGACTAGCTAACCCCCGACCATCATTTACTGTAAAGTCACAGGTTTTATTTCCACGCCCAAGTCCTGCCTGACTGCGCTGTGATTGACTAGTACGCGTTACTTCGACATGTCTTTGTGATTGGATGCTAGCAGCAGGATGATAGAGATGCTTGGTGCTGCTTCGGCTGTGACTTATTGCCTTAATTTCCTAGTATTTTTCCTAGATCTTTATTACTAATTAACTTACTGCACTGACACTGATACTTCTGAGGGCCATATGTTAGCCTTATAGCCTTTCTTGGAATACTTTAATTTTTTTTGCCCATTTTCTTATCTTACACAGTTCTGTAACACTTTGTTTTTGTCAAAGACAACACATGGTTAATGATTGAATTTAATATATTCACTGAGTAAAGTAACGACTTATCCAATCACAGCCACTGTTATTTTGGTGTAGCTCTAGTCTTTTTGGATGCTGATTTGTGTGCTTATACCATGGGCAAGTAGTCTACGTAGTTAAATGGTCTTTTTGTCTGTTTTCATTGTGTTTCTTGTTGCTATAAGTTGGGAGTCCACGCAGGGTGTTTTATTTTGAAAATTGATTCTTTATTCCTGTCCAGTTCGATCTGTGCTGTGCAGCTTGACTCGGCTTTCGTTAAAAATAGACTAGCCGCGTATTTTCTTTGGAGCGTAGCGGAGAGCTGCTTCTGGGATGCTTCTGAAACACGCTGCGGCTCGTCTGGTGATCTGATTGCGATCAGCTCCGCGCTCTGTGGAACCACATGTGCAACACTACCCCTGTCAGTGATGGCACAAAATTATGATGAAGGGTCAAAGGTCTGGGGGAAACGAGTAGGGTTTAGTGCCTTTAGAAAAAGATGGCTGCATCTTGTTTTAATCACATAGTCTCTGTCTGGTTAGGAAAACCCTCTGACTTTTGTGGAGCTTGTTTAGTCATCCTTTTAAGGTCTGTGTGTAGCAGACAGTGTGTGGGTTTGTTTGATAACAGGGCTCTGCTGAAACTGACAGCGGTGTCTGAATATGAGACCTCTGCTGTCGTGTGTGTGCGTGAGTGTTAAAGACAAAGATTTATAATGTTACTGTCAGGTTCTTTTTAAAGAAGCTATTTTAGGACGTAAAAGTGGTTTAAGGCTGTGATTCAGTTTCAGTAATTATGTGTGTGTGTGTGTGTGTGTGTGTGTTTTAGATCAATAGACAACAAAGGGGCAATCACTTCCATGTAAACAGTGATTGTTTGTATGTGTGACGCCACATAGTGTGTGTGTGTGTGTGTGTGTGTGTCTCAGCAGACACAATAAACAGCTGTGTGTCTTTGTGTGCTCAGGGTTTTAAGTTTAGTTATCAAAGTATCTCTATGTGCATGTGTTTGAGTGTGTGTGTGTTTGCTGTAATTCCCGTATTTCCTAGTTCCTCATGTGACTCACCTTGTGACATCATGCTGTGTCACATCTCCTTCTATGGGAGGCAGGGTTGGTCAAAAGGCTTTTGGTACCTTGCACTCTCAGTCACTCTGCTTTTTAACTTTCAGTCGGGCCAACATTTTCTCTTCATACAGAGTTGTTTCTTTCCTTTTTAAATTGTTGTTTCTTTCTGGATCAACTTGAAGCTGTAAACGTCTCTCTCTCTGCTAAGGTAAGATCTACCTGCTGCCTTGAAATTATTTTGTTAAGGTTGAATCTGTGAGGTGAACACTTCATCTCTACTTTTCACCCTTTTAGTTTTAATCTCCTTAAAGGTTTAGGCACAGAAGGAAGCTGTCTCTGCTTGCTTTTCTGTCTATTCTTCTTTCTAGTCTATGTAAACAGTGTTTATTGTATTTTAGCTGTCATCTTGTTTGCTTCTGAAAAAGTGATGATCATTTCTCTGCTTATAACTTATAACTTTAGCGTGAAGCCTAACTCTCCCCTTGCCTAAGGACAGTAGTACATCTGCTAATAAATTATAGTAATTGCTTCCAGTCACCTGAAGGAGACATTTATTCATTTATTTTAAATATTCCTGTTAATTTTTACATGTGGTGAAAGGGATCATGTGCATGATGCTATTACACCCCTGTAAACAGAGCAGTTGCTGATCAAAGCTCAGTAGGAGGTTTTACCATTGATGTAAACTGTTCACACATTTGTGAAGTTTTATGAGAATAAACTCCCCAACATGCAGAAAGAGACAGCTGGTAGTTAATTTGGTTGATTGGAACTCCAACTACACAGACACAAGCTTTCTGTAAGTTTTCTTAGTGGTCTTTTAGTCTTGTGCAGTTACATGATATCTTCAAGTCTTGGAAAATAACCTTTGATGATGTTTTAGAAGTTATTTTTGCTTTGTAAGCCTTAAAGAATGCTACAGTACTAAGTTGCATTATGGGAAATGTAGGATCCAGTGTTTATAGAGGTTGACCCACACTAGGGACTAAACTGTTTTCTAACCTATAGTTTGTTTGCTCTGATCTAAATGAGTGGATCAGTCTGTAAACATTTTCCCCTTGGTTCAGTTTCTTTTCACACTAAAAGCCACATGAGAACGTTGACTCTTCTCATTGGTTAGATGTGCAAGGCGCGGGAGCAAGAAAGTGAACACAGGAAGGTACTGACGAAGCTCCTATCTGCACAAATAACAAGAATGTACTTTCTTTGCTTGTCCAGGTCAGACCTTCATTCAAGTATTATTGTGGGCATTCAGGAAATACCAGTATATCTTACAAATGTTTGGTTTTACTGGAAGATAGCAGACCGACCTGTGGCAAGAGGAAACTCATGAATACCAGAATAGATCTGGTACTGCTGACTTGTGCATCATGGGAAAATCTCAGAGTTCAGAGGAGTAATGTCATGAAACCATGGTACAGGTTACCTGTGCACATTAAAGTTACTTTAACCTGGATTTTGGTCAGCTGCTGAAAACTTCTGCAGGGACCTGTCAGTCAAAATAATCTAGACAAATCTTCATGGGGATTAATAGATTTATGAATCATCAACATCTTGTGTGTGTGTGTGTGTGTGTGTGTGTGTATTATGTACCTCTAACCCAAATAGATTGTCCTCGTGTGACTCTGTCCACTGGAGCATTTAGCAGAGCAGGTTACCTTGCAGTCTGTGATAGTGTGTATTTTTATGTAAGGGTGGTGTTATAAAACCAGTCATTAGTGTGTGTGTGTGTGTGTGTGTGTGTGTGTGTGTGTGTGTGCTTTGAGCACGTGTGTCATCTTCTCACAACATTTAGGTCTGAGTCAGTGGACACACACACACACACACACACACACACACACACACACACACACACACACACACACACACACACACACACACACACACACACACCATGGTTTAGTCAGCTAAGTGTTTGTAGATCAAACAGGCCTCTCTGAGCAAATGGAAACTCTTAGTTTGATCTTTCCTTCTTTCTGCAGCTTGGAATTTAAGTTTCTGATAAAGAAAACAAAATAATATGTGTATTTCATATCATTTGTGCTATAAAATAACTAATAATAATAACTAATGTATTTGAATTTACAGATTAATATTCAACCAACTTTGTACCAATATCCTTATTTTTGAGAAAGGGTTTTTCTTGATGCATGATGGCATGAAAAGCTGCAGAAACAGATGTTAGTTATTAGGAAATTTAATTGTGAATGCTAACAAAGTCGACATTGCTGCTAATAATGCTGACATTAATTGATTAGTCAAAACCCAACAATTGATTCCTGGTTAAAGTTATTTATTAAAGGTGGGATATACGATTCTGGAGAAATCTAATTCCAGGACAAATACTAGTGGCGGGCCGAAATGTGTTTTTCAATTGCAGATGCAGATATTCTCTCAAAATGCCAGATAATGGCCTGATTAATTGGTAACATTTAACTTTAAAATAAGCTGAATGTCTGGGGGCAACTTTACCTGACACACAAATCATGGCTGGAACAGCTGGAATAGTGTTGGGTGGTGGGGTGCGGGCACTTTAAGTCCAAACACCGGATTTTTTTCAGCGTACACACACGGACAGCTTGCGGACCTTGAGGCAATATTAACTGAAATGTGGAAAATGTCTTGTATTGGATTATAATCGCTTACTACACTTGAAAGTGCAAGTAATTCTACAGTCTTATACAGTCTTAATAAGTCATCTGAGGGAGACACTTTTGTTTTTACATATTCAAAAAAATAATCAGTAATGTTATTAGCAGCACTTATTTCCATATGGGAAATGTTTTTTTTTATTTTTATTTTTATCAGTTAGTCCTTATTTTAACTGCTGAATGTTCGTCTGTGATTGGTAGATTTTCTTGCCGCTCACCCTGCCTCCTCTGTTTGGTGTGTCTCTGTGCAGGAGCAGCCGGCTGCAGCCTAGCTGAAGATGTCTGATAATGGGGAGGTCGAGGACAAGCCCCCAGCTCCGCCCATGAGGAACACTAGCACCATGATTGGCTCCAGCAACAAGGATCCCGCCCCCCTCAACCACGGCTCCAAGCCCCTCCCACCAAACCCAGAAGACAAGAAGAAGAAAGACCGCTCGATCCGATTCATCCTAACCGGAGGAGGCGATAAGAGTGAGTCCTGAGATGACTGTGTGACAGCGTGTGTGTGATCGTTTTCCTTGAGCAAAGCATTTCGACTCATTTATTAACAGTGTGTAAACATACATAGGATGGTTTTAAAAATGATAAACTATTGCATTACTTATTTGAACGGTATTTCTGGCATACCTAACATCCAGCTACGGGGGATAAAAAGTAATTCAGCCACAAAATAACCTTGAACATCCTTAGTAGAAATTATTGTTGTGTTTTTTTTGTTTGTTTTTTTAGCATTTTGTGGGAGAAGATTGCAGCGAAACTGAAACCATAAAATTATGTGATGGTAGAAGTGTTTACATATAGAAGAGACATCTGAGAGTATTAAATGCCAGAACCTGAACTAGTAAACTTATTTGTATCTTACCGGATGGCTGGGTACAGAAGTGCTCTTCAGCAAGTTTCCATCTGGCTTAATTGGCCGTGGTTTTACATAGTCCTCTTCATAGAAGTGATCACTGCAAAGGCAGAGTTGTCTCAATGCTCCATCTTGAGTGTTTGTCTTGATTTAGTGCATGTAGCCACAGCTTTTGCTGCCGACCCTGTACACAGCAGTACACAGGTTCACTGACTGTGGATAAGCACTTTATACAGCTCCACTTCTGAACCAAAATTCAGAAGCTTTTACTTAAGAAGCACATAAACCTGTGTTTGGTTGGGCCAACACATGTTGATCTGGGTTTAATTTGTTGGTTTAATGTGGGTCTGACGCTGCTTCGCTTTGGTGTTAAGCCATGCTAACTCTAAAAGTCTAACACTGTGGGTCCTCCTCTGAAATGAAAGGTGTAACTCGTTGTCTTCAGATTCACCTTATTGAACTCCTCCACCACTCTCCCCTCTCCTCCAAGTGCATCCAGCTCAGCATGTTTGGTCTCCAAGTGGCACAGGTTGCATTGCTATCATAACGTAGTACTTTACAAACCACACACTGAGGCTGCGGTGAGTCATTTGAGCCCCTTCATACTTGTATAAAACTTTAGGGTACTGTTCATCATATTTCCGATGTTTTGGTTGAGTTCCTGTACTTTAGGCTGTGATCCTCCTGGTATCGAAAACTTGCTTATTTTTTCTTGAATCTTAATTGCCTCCATGAGCTGTATGTCACAGACCTGCCCTTAACTCTCAAGGGAGGCACATCTCACATCTTGAAAGCCTCTGCTCTAATGGTTATTATATAACTGATACAGTATTGTTTAATCCTTGTAGCACAAATTGGCAGCAACCTTTAGCCTTCTGAGCCATAAATATTCTTTTTCTGAGCTGCACAGAAACAATAAATACAGTTTAAAATATCAGCTGTTGTATTAACTGTCATTTAGGTGGCCAAAAGACAAAAACAATCCTTTTTTTAACAGCAGTGTTATATCAAAAAGTACAGGCAGATACAGACGTGGACAAAATTGTTGGTACCCTTCCGTTAATGTCATTGAAAAACTTCAATGGTCTCTGAAATAACTTGAAACTGACAAAAGTAATAATAAATAAAAGTTTACAGAAAATTTACTGACGGAAATCAGACTTTGCTTCTGAATTGTGGGTCAAGAGAATCATTTAAAAAAACAAACTAATGAAACTGGCCTGGACAAAAATGATGGTACCCCTAGAAAAGTTTAAGGCTGGGATATAAAACAATAATAATTAGTAACAGTATAATTTTCCTCAATGTCAATATAATAAATGTTCAATATATCGTCAATAAATATTTGGTTTAATTAATTTGAATCACAAACAAATTAGCACTTAATATTTCTATTAAAATATTTATTATTATTATAAAAAGATTTACTAATAATTGTTAAAAAAAGATTATATCATAATAGTTTTGAATGTTTTACCTCAGATTTGTTAAGTGATCCACTGTTTGGCATTAAGTGTTTACCACACAATTAACCATCTAGTTTCTTCAATTTTCACGAAGTAGCCAAAATCAGCCTTTAAACTTGAAAGAAATAATGATATATCGTGATAATTATCGATATTGAATTATATGAAATGTTTTTATCGTGATAACATTTTTGGCCATATCGCCCAGCCCTAGAAAAGTTTGGAAATAAGATGGGGACATTTTAAACTAAGGTGTGTCCTGCAATTAGCATCACAGATGTCTTCAAACTTGTAATCAGTCTGTCTGCCTATTTAAAAGGTGAAAAGTAGTCACTGTGCTGTTTGGTATCACGTATACTGAGCATGGACCACAGAAAGCTAAGGAGAGAGCTGTTTCAGGAGGTTAGAAAGTAAATTATTGACAAGCATGTTAAAGGTAAAGGCTATAAGACCATCTCTAAGCAGCTTGATGTTCCTTTGACTACAGCTGCACATATTATTCAGAGGTTTAAGGTCCACGGGACTGTAGCCAAACTGATAACAGAGTAGAAGCGTAGAATAATACGCATGGTAACCAATGAGCCCATAACAACTTCCACAGACATTAGAGGTGAACTCCAAGGTCAAGCTACATCAGTGTGAGATCGCACCGTCGTTGTTTGAGCCAAAGTGTACTTAATGGAGGACACCACTGTTGAATGCAAATCAATGCAAAAGACTGAAAATTGTAAAAATGGATATTGACAAGCCTCAAAGCTTCTGGGAGAATGTCCTTTGGACAGATGAGACAAAACTGGAGCCGTTTGGCAAGTCACACCAGCTCTATGTTCGCAGACGCCAAAATTAAGCATACAAAGAATATAACACTGTACCTACTGTGAAACATGGAAAAAGCTCATTATGTTTTGGGGCTGCTTTGCTGCATCTGGCACATGCCAGGGTACAATGAAATCTCAAGACTATCAAGGCAATCTGTAGCGATGTGCTGCCCAGTGTCAGGAAGCTTGGTCTCAGTCGCAGGTCATGGGTCCTCCAACAGGATAATGACCCAAAACACAGCTAAAAACACCCAAGAATGGCTAAAAGGAAAACACTGGACTATTCTGCGCCCTGATCCTATTGAACATCTGTGGGAGCTGAAAGATGAAGGGGTGGGCTTCACCAGAGGCCCCACGATACGATATTATCACGATATTTATGTTGCGATTCGATTTTATTGCGATTTTAAATATATTGAGATATATTGCAATTTATTACCTTTCTCCAACTTCCAGTTAGGTCCCTAAAGTCAACATCTGTTTATCTAAAAAGATACATTTCTCTATATGGTCCTGTTAAGTTTTCTAGTGGACTAAAAAAGCAATATTCTATATTCTAGCACCAAAAAGTTAAAACTCCCATCTGCAAAAATCAAATTAATCATCATTTTCAAAATCACTCCAGTTACAGCCAGTCATTTTTTAAACAGTGCTATTTCTCCAGGCGTTGTTAAAAATCACACCAGTGGCTGAGAAATGGTCCAAGATAGTATGCTTTTATTATCAGACACAGCTCGATCAATAGTCAGTAAACACATCCAAAGCTCCTCGGTGTGTCTGCTTCCACTTCTCACAGCCTCCCTCAGTGTATTAGAGCAGGCTGGCCTTATTGTGTCAAAACTGCTATCAGACGCTCTGCAGCAGATTTCAGCTGGCTGTACCTTCTCTGAACTACAGCTCATATCAACCATTAGAGCAGTTAATACGGATACGTTAACAGTGAACAAGCATGCCTTTGTTCGCATGTCAAAGTGCAGCTAAGCCAAAGGCCAACTGAGGGCTGACAGAGCAGCCTGATGAAAGCTAGTAAAATTATAACTGTGAAGCAGGATGGTGATGAGGAAGAGTGTGCCAGCTCAGCAAAACATCCTGGATGAAATGAGGTAAAAGACAAATATTGTAATTGTAGTGTGACTGCTGCACCCAGTGTCTCAGCTTCTCAGTGTGTTTAATCTCGGCCCTGTTCGTGTCAGTGCTGGTGGGAGACAAGCTCTCTCCCATAATGTCTAATAATAGTAATGCAGTATCAAAATGGAGTCCCCCATAAAGAAGTTTCGTTCAAGTGGCTGCCGGCAGACATTTATATTTCACTGAAGCATCTTAACATACCTGTTGTTTTTTCACTGATTTTTTTCATTTATTTTTTGGGGGGTCCTTCCTCAAAATAAATAAATAAATAAAGCTATAATAAGCTTTAGGTATCCCAACCTCAACATTAATTTAAAATGCACAACCACAGCCCTTATGTAAACTTACAGTAGCTCAGAATCTGGATTTTGTTTTTATGTTTAATTGATTACGGCCAAATGTAAAGACAACAATGTCATGATTTACCTCTCAAAAAAACTTGTTTGATCTGTTCTTTACAAAAATATTGTATATCATAAAACTTCAATTAATAGCAGAGTCCCAAATAGCCGCCTGTCCCGTTTCCTGGCCTGGTGTGGGAACACATTTTGACAAATAAACGCAGGTCTCCATTAAACTCCTGGTCTGGTTTTGATAGAAGTTCTTTGGATGTATAAAACCTCTTAAACCCTACGGGGTCGCTTGCTTTAGCTGTTTCTAAGCTGCTTAGATTGTGCATACAAATATTAATGTTTAAACGTATGATCAATATGTCGGTTAGATTCTCCAGAATTCAATCGTTCAGTTCATTTAATCGAAACAACAAGCCCAAAGTCTGATTCCGGTGTAGATGAAAAAGAAGAAGTGCAGACTCCCGTCCGAATGTGTACGCTCCTTGTTTATTATTCCTTTACTCTGTAAGGGTCCACCGAATGTCCGGGCTATTAATCAAAGTTTTATGGTAATCTAATGCACACCTGTAAGACAAGTGCATAGGAAAATAAAATCCAAATGAATGGAAAAAGCTGTCAACACCTGAACACTGTCACCTTGTTAAACTTTATTTAACAAAGTTACATTTTGGTCATCGAGGTGTCTCTGAAACATAACTTTATTTTAAGAAATGCTGTATAAGCCGCAAATTTGTTGTTTTGGTCATGTTTTACAGAAGTGATTGGATAATTTAAAGTAGGATGTTAAAATATCGCACTAAGATACCAAGACAATATGGTAAACATGTCAGTGTCACTGAATTACAGTTATTAATTGAGGAAACAGAAATGTACAATTATTTATGCTTAATTAACAGTTGTCTACAGAAACCAAAGCGGATATCGGTGACACAGGCCTCTAGTTGTCTTTACAACACACATGACAAAAGGTTTACTCGGCAGAATTCAAATTCTGTCCAGTCAGTCTACTGATTCAGTTGGAAAAGCCAGAACATTAAATAAAACATGCAGCGTTTCCCGCAATAGATGATATAAAAAACATAATCATGTTAACAGTGTTATTCTGCTCATGGAGACAGATTAGTTTGGCCTTGTTGTGTCCGTTCAGAGAGCAGATACACTCAGTCATAATCTCCTAATAACCAGGAAATTATTCCTGTTGCATCATCCTCCATACAGGAGTCCTTTCCCGCACAGCGCAGGTGCAGTACACACCTGCTCTTTCATACTTCACATATATTTCCATACTTCAAAATTATAATAAAATGTCTAGTTTTGTACACTTATTATGAAGGATTGCTGTTATTGCTAACTTTACATTACATACACATATTGTAGATTGTTTTTCCATTACCAGTACCAGCCTACCTCGCCCGCCGTCCTCAGTTTTCCATTGCAGGTAGTACCCAGTGATGGTACCCCTCAATCTAGCTAGTCATCATAGCAACGGCACACACAACTGCCGCAACGTAATATTCAATGCGACCCACAAACAGCTGTCACTTGATTTAAGTTAAAGAGTTTCAGCATTCCTCAGTATGTAAAGACAGATAAGCGGTATGAAAACCTTCCAGCTGTGTTTTCCTCTGCCGTTGTTGCTGCAGCGGTCTGTGCGACGGCGGGAGCAGAGGGCTCTGTGAGCGGGCGGCTGACCGACCTTATGAGCTCCTCCCGCGGGTTGGCGCAGGCTTCCCCCACCGCCAATTGCGGAGCTCCTCAACTCTGAAAACTTTAAAGCGCATTTTTGTTCCGCCATCACTTCTCGTAAAACTGTCAATATTCGAAATCTACACGTAGATAAACATACAGTTAACTTAAATAAATGTAGAAATATATAAATATGGAATAGACAATGCAAGTTTATATAAGAATATTAAAGAGAATAGAGAAAAAGCAGGTACAGGTACAACTTTTCCACAAAGGAAACCCAAATAAAGGCGAGTAGAGTCGAGGTGACTGGAGCTGGTGCCATGCAGTGGAAAAGGGGCACGTGTTTCACCAGTTGAAATGCTTTTAATGTGAAGCTGCAGCAGTAGAAATTGTTGGGTTAGCATTAGCAGTAACTTAACCATGGTTGAAGGAGAGTGAACAGGAAAAAGGCTGAAATCAATGAGATGAAGTAATAAACAGTGCAGTGTGTCGGTAGGCAAACTGAATCCTGCGCGGGAAAGACTGACTCAGACAGTGACAATATAAATCACTATATAAAACAATGCTGGAGTGTTAATTCAAAAATGTGTTGGTAGTCCATTTGACCTGACCTTTGATCTCTTTTACATGTCTCACATCAAATGGCTGGCCCGCTTTAGACAATACATACATTCATTTACTGACACACTTTCACTCGTTTCTGTTGTGACTGCTACTGTCCAGAGGGAAACTATCCGTCAGCCAGAAGACAGTAGAAAATTAATATCAGTTTATCTATATTTATTGTCAGATACATCAATGAGTATGAGTGATTTACTTACTGGTAACTAATTACTGTTTTCATTTAGGACAAACTGGCACGTGTTTTTTTTTCCCTTTGTATTTAATTTGTTGTTTTTATTTGTTGATGTTACCAAAACAGCTTTTTACAGCTATCAATATATGCAGCTACTGAGCTGTATGTTGTCGAGAGATAAAGCTACAAGCATCCTGACAGTGCTCGTCCTTTATTTCCTCATGTTGAGACTTAGACGTCTGGGAGGCACGACTTTTTTGTCCAGCATCAATCAGGATATTAAACAAAAATAATTGAGCCATAATTCTTGCTTCACAGTTTGGGAAATGCTGTCTGTATGTGTTAATTATGGAGATAGCTTTTTCTGCAATCTTCTTGTCTTAACTCTCCAGGAAGGGAATAAACGTATTTCAAAATATTGCATTTAAGTATTTGGTTTGTATAATTTTTCATTGAATTAAACTTATTTTCCCAGTGTTTTTGTTGCTATCTTTGTTCTGTATGTTGCATGTTGAGCAGGACACCAACACCCTCTTCCAGCTGCCGTCCTTTATTAAAATGCAGTATGTTTCTGGAGAACAAACACAGAACAACACATTTTTGTTAAAAAAAAATAAATAAACTACCTCACTGTATGCTTCCACACACTGGGACAAATTACCCAGGATGCTTTGTGAGAAGCTGGTAGTCCTGTATCATTGTCAGTCATCCCAGGGGCGATTGCTGTCTGTGACTCTCAGTGGAGTTATGATTTCCCAGAGGATCCCCTCACATGTTCCAACACTGTCGGATTCTGTCTGCATTTTTTCCCTCGCTCGATATTTTTCTTTCCATTCTCATTTTCCTCTTTCTCCCTAATATTTCCTTGAACTTTCCCTCTCTGTCCGCCTCTGTATTTCTTCCTCTTTTTAATTTTACTATTTCTATCTCTTTCCAGGAATTTTAATGAACCTGGATCTCTTTGCACCTCTTCTTTAAGGGGGTATTTTAAAAGATGTTGCATTTAGGATTTTCTGTTACAGTCGGTTTAATTATTAAAGTGGTACAACGGGCATCTCTGCTACTCTTCTGCAGCCTCTCAGAGCCTCTCTGAACAGCTAGTTTTCACTCCTAAAATTTTAATATAAGGGAAGTTCATTCTTGGATAATCCTGTGTCCTTATGGTTGAAAACTAGGAGTATAATTAAAGAAGTATAATCTAGCATACAAACACCACATCATTTTATTACTGTGTTCAGGTTTCCTGAGTCAGTCTAAAATGTCTTTAAATAAACTTTCTGTTTTTTTTCTTTCAGCCTATAAGAAGAAGGAGCGTCCAGAGATTTCTCTGCCATCTGATTTTGAACACACCATCCATGTCGGCTTTGATGCGGTTACCGGCGAGTTTACTGTAAGTGTGTATGTGTGGTGGTGTGTGTTTGTTCCCTTGTGTGTAATAACACTAAGTTTACTGAAAGCAACCGCGGTGTGCGTATGAGGAGTGTGTTTGTGCGTCTGGTAAGTTTACATCAATTTTTAATTGCTCACCAAAGGACCCACGTTCATTGTTGCATGCAAGTGTGTATAAATGTGTGTGTGTGTGTGTGTGTGTGTGTGTGTCTCTGTCTGTTTTCTGCACACACACTTGGCAAATGAACCTTTTTAAATAATCACATTAGACAAAGACGCCTTGTTTAGCTGACTCACTTGATCCGCCTGACCAAGCTCTTTTAGCTGTGTGTGTTCACTAAGCTACCCTTTCCTTTTCTGTAATCTGGAACAAGTTCCTGCTTCTCAATTATACACACATCTATATGCACATGAACATTTGTAACTCAAATTAACAGAAGATAAATATAATTCAGTGAGTAAACAACAGTCGAGCCACACAGAGACTTCGGATAGATGGATGACATGATGGTTTACCATTATGGAAAGATGAGACATTAATAGAGTGGCATGATGGAGAGTGTGTGATGGACTGACCCAGACAGAGAGAGCTGGGAAACAAGGAGATGTGACCCAGTTATGTGACTGAAGTACAAATATGACAAGACTGCCTTGTTAGGAATCTGTAGAAAGCCTGTGTGCGTGTACATTATGTATGTGTGTCTTCCTTACTACTGAATCTTGCTGTATTATTTTTCATCATAACGCAGCAGTAATGTGCCTTCGACACAGCCCATAAATAAGGACAAAATACATAGTGCACATGGAATAAAAAAATAAAACAGTTTGTGTGTGTGTGTATAGGGCATGCCGGAGCAGTGGGCCCGGCTCCTGCAGACGTCCAACATCACCAAGCTGGAGCAGAAGAAGAATCCTCAGGCCGTCCTCGATGTTTTAAAGTTCTACGACTCAAAAGAAACGGGCAACAGCCAGAAATACATGAGCTTCACAGGTACACACAGACACGCACACCTGCATGTCCTGCTCCTCCAAATTGTTGTTTTGTCAATAATTTTTCATCGTGTTGTTTCCCTGCAGATAAAAACACAGACGCCTACAGCTCCTCCACCACAACGGTAAGACTACTGTCACAACTGTTTCTGTGTCCTGTGTCCCTCATAGAGACGGCTCTATGAGGAAGGTTTCATTGCGTAATTCAGTTGCAATGATTGGCAGCAGCCACCCCTGAGTTTATTTTAGGGATGCACCGAAATGAAAATTCTTGGCTGAAGCCAAAACCAATTTTTTTTTTTGCAAATTCTTTTTTACCATTGCATAAATTAAATAGTAATAATATGCTTTTTACTCAGTGTTTCCCATAGAATTTGGTGAGACTATGGTGGGTGGGTCTGAGGCCCGAGAGGGTCCGGTAAAGTAAATTACATGTGTCCATTTACTTTGAATGGACACATTTAATGTTTTATACCTTCTGTGAATATAATCCATCCATCCATCCATCGTCAACCGTTTATCCTGCGTACAGGGGGGCTGGAGCCAATCCCAGCTGGCATCGAGCGAAAGGCGGGGTACATCCTGGACAGGTTGCCAGTCCATCGCAGGGCCACACATAGACAGACAACCACTCAAATTCAAATCTAAGGGCAAGTTAGACACACCAATTAATCTAGCCTGCATGTCTTTGGACGGTGGGAGGAAGCCGGAGCACCCGGAGAAAACCCACGGTCACGGGGGGAGAACATGCAAACTCCACACAGAAAGGCCGGGGCAAATGGGGTTAGATCCCACGACCTTCTTGCTGTCAGGCGACAGTGCTAACCAGTTAATATTATTTCCATCCTGTATAGACACCTTATTTTGAAAACCGGACGTTGTTACGTGTGTATCCTCTCGCTAAATTCATAAAGGCTGACCCAATATGATAAATGTTGTATGTGGTTCTCTTATCGCATAACATGAAGACTTCACGGTCTCTCTTCAGGTAGGACTCTCATACTGCAACACTTGTCTTTGTAAAGAGACAAACTGACAAGGTAAAGTCGCTAACCTGCCTGTCGGCTTGCTCTGGTCCGTTTCAGTGGATTGACCATCTAGGTGCGGCTAACTTAATCGCCTTCTCACAAACGAGTGACAGAAACACTCAGCAGGTCAGACCATTTGTTGCTTTTTCTAAGAAGTCAGCCACAGATGGAGTAGATGTGCTAGAAGACAATTCAGCAGAACAGCGTCTTTCTCGGACACTAAAATGCTTCCACACTGCCGACATGTCAACGTTATTGTTTGGTAAATTTTATTCGGTCGTTTGACTTATTAGGCCAAACACTGAAAGTGCTTATTTTGATATTTTCAGCCAGTTTATTTCGGTGGCCGAACATTCGGTGCATCCCTAGTTTAGTTGAATCTGCTAATAATAGTTTACGAAATTGTAAATATTGTATGTAGTAAATGTGGCCTCGAGGTAAAAACAGTCACTATATTTATTCCCAAACTATACAGCCTACCAGCAGAGTCCAATCCTCATAAAGTTTATCAACATAAATGATAATTCTGGTATATTTACCAATTGATAAGAGCCCAGGATATTTATTTATCATTGATATTTTCATAAACTGACACTGAAAGTCTTCACTGGCATTGCATTTATCACTGTATTTTTTTGTGTTATTATACATGATTCAACCTTCCTGCATATTATTATATTCTTAAATGCATCATCGTGTTTTAGGTTGCTTTTGGAACTTTTTCTTTTAAGGACAACCTTAAAGCACAGAAGAAGAAGAAGAAAGTCTTAACTTGACAAAGAAAACAAAAAAATGCACAGTAAGATTTAAACATCTAAAAACTGAATCAACTCTAAACGTATACAATAATGAAATGATTAAAGTGTAACTAAAACTAACACACTAAGACTAAAACTAAGTGCTAAAAAAACTAAGTGCTCAACATTGAATGTCATGTCTGGATCCCCCCACTGGTAATTGGTGCTTATGTTTTTACCAGTTCTTACCATCCAGCGTGTTAATCAAGACATTTGATATTTTGAATTTTTGAAGTGTAAACAAAATTGAGGTTAAATTTGTGAGGAGACTATGTTGAAGGGAAGTGGAGTCTGGCTGTAGTTTGTCAGGGTAACAAGCAATGAAAAGATTAAGAGAGGAAGGAAGGAGATCTGCAGTGTGACACGGTGCGGAGATTAAAAGAGGGAGTGGAGGAGATGAGGTTTAATCTACCGTTTGACAAGACAGACCAAAGAGCATGAGATTGGGTGTGGGTGCAGAGAGAGAGAGTAATACATTTGAAAATGTTGAAAGAGGTTGAAGACATCGTGTTGAGGTGCAGGAGTCTGGTGTCTGACCTCTAATTTGATTATAGCACATAATATCTCTGAAACTGAACTTATTTGGGTGATTTATTATCAGATGACTAATGTACATGATGAAGGGTTATGTTTTATATCAACTGAAGCTTAACTCATAGATACTGAAACTACTGTAAATGATGTACTCTCTGCACAGAACAGGATAATACTGAAAGACAGTGAAAGCAATCAGGACATTATGTAGAATACGCTTTTTTTGTACCAAGAATTGGAGAGGAAGATACCACTGTCATATCTGAACCATGAACAGTAATGACCGACCGGGAAAATTCATGTGAATGCCCACTAAAATTCTGAAAGTCTGAATGTTGACCAGTTGTTGACGTCATATACGCAAGAAACATGGCGGGCAACATGGTTGATGGTTAGAAATGTTTAAATAATGGTGCAAAATATGCAATATGTTATTAAGTTATAAAGGTTAGTTTGCTGTCCATGTAGTGTGAAGAAGTTTAATTAGGAAAGTTATTTATTTTCTGGTACTGTACTGGTGCAGTAACAACTCTGGGACAAAAAAATAACTTTGTAATAGAAAGCTTCAAACTGTTCCATCATAGTTGGATGACTATGATAATGCTAATCCAACACATAGCCTATTTACAGTAGCATAGCATCCATGTTATTTCCACATTCTGACCTAGAGCACAGGAACACACCAAAGTCGGAAGAACGACTTCCCAACTCGCGAACTAGGACCATCATAGGAGCACATGAATGCAGCACAAATACTGTATGAAGCAACGGTCAGTAGCCGGTTAGCTTAGTTTAGCACAACCCTAGTAGGTTGCTGCTCAAGAAACAGTCCAGTCCATTACAAAACTTTGTATGTAATGTGAGCTTTAGAGCTGCTGGTGGGTGTCTTTTGTTGCCTCTGGACGGACACAGGCTATCTGCTTCCTCGCATTGTTTATACTAAGCTAAGCTGATCAGTTGCTAGCTGTAGCTTTACCATACAGACATAGTGATATCAATTATTCCTTTTAAAAGGATTATATCATTTTTCTGCTTTCTGTTTTGATTATTATTATTGGGGGGAAGACTTTCCTACTTTCTTTTATTCCATATTCATGTATTGCTTAATGTCTGTTTCGTGTAAAATTTCTTAATTGTATTTTTGTGTTTTCTTGTCAATAATACATTTAATTAAAAAAAGTGAAAAATGTTTGTAATGAATCTAACTAGCTCTGAACATGCATCCTGATAATAAAAATTAATTAAATGGAAGAAAATTTGACATTTATTTGCAAAACAACCTGTTTTCATTTAGATAATAATATTCAGGTTTTTTCTTATTTATAGTATAGTATAGTATTTATAGTATGTTCTAGCTTAAAAGGACACAGGTATTTTACCTGGTATGTTTGAGTGCACACTTTTTGATTGGCCATTTCCAATTCAGGACCAACTACAGTGTATTGCTGGATGACAGACTTGTGTGGCAACAAGCACACACACACACACACACAGCTCCAAACATATCAGTTCTAATTAAAATAAATGAGGAAGCTTTGTTTTGCCGCCGCACAAGTGTTGTCTGAAAGGTGCCAACAAACAAAACTATGAAGGTGACCAAGAGAAGGAGGGAGGAGGAAGTGATGATGATGCCTCTCCTAGAGGTGCCCTCCTCTTCCTCTCTCTCTCTCTGCATTGTGAATCAGCATCTTTTTCCTCCTTTCACCATTTTCCTGTCTCTGCAGCTTGGCCACCAGCCGAGCATCAGACTAGAGATAGAGCAGAGAAGAAGAGAGGGATGGAGAGGAGGATGTGTCACTAGTGGCATCAGAAGCCAGACACGACTAGAGCTTTCGGACATCCGCAGCGATGCCGAGAGGAGGGCGAGAGAAGGGAGTTAAAAAAGGGTGGAAAGACAGAGAGGGAAGCGAGAAATACAGAAGGTTAAATTCAGAGAAAAAGTAAGCGGGAAAGAAGAGTTAAAGACTGGGAGGATAACTTCTCTGCAGGATGAGATGATGAAGCAGTAGAGGAAGCAATGATGGGTCTGGTATCGCTGTTGGCTCATATGACGATGATGTCACTGAAGCTCCGCCCTCTCTCCCCATGTGACATCACACAGAGCTCCAAGGCCGTGTCAGAGACGCCCGCCATAGCAACTGTATCTGAAGACGACGACGAAGACGAGGCCGAGCCCCCGCCGGTGATCGCCCCCCGACCAGAACACACCAAATCAGTAAGGAGACCCACGCTCTTTCTGTACTTGTGAAGACCCTCATTAACAAATGCACCCCCTCACCCTTAGCCCCTAACTACCACAACTCTAACCTCGCCTTAACCTAATTCTAACCTTAACCAGGTCTTAACCTTCAAACAGTCCGTTTTAAAACTGAAATGGGTCATCACAAATAAGCTCACATACACATCCTTCTACTGCTGCTCAGTATGAGGCCGATACGTCTGCCCGTCAAGCCTCGTCATTTGAGGCTTTATATCATTTTAGAGGAAAATGTATGTGTGCAACAAATTTCTTGAAAACTGGAAACAGCTTAAAAAGTCTTACAGAAGATTGTTTGTGTATATGAGTTAAAGTTGAGGTTATAAAATGCAAAGGAGTTGAAGTGCCTCTGAACCCAGTAATAATAATAATAATTTATCATGTTTTTCAGTGGAACCTGTAATTTAAGTGCCAATTGAAGAGACCGTTTCCAATTCAAAAGTTTATGTCTAATGTTTTATACAAAGGCTATGTTTACTTTCGCTGAATGTAATAGCTCAGCGCTGTGGTGGAAATCTGAAAATACGATTGAGCACAAGCTCGTCTTTATTGGTTTTATTTATGCTTTTACAAAAGGATCCGTGCAGAGCGTTCAGCAACTCATTGATGAAGAAGTTGTTTTGTCTTTATAATCAATTAGGCACATGCAAGGAAACAACTGAGGTTAAGAAAAGTTGTTAACAGATAGGTCTAGGTCAGCAAGGTCGGTCAGCAATAGGCCAGTCCCTTTTTTTTTTTTACTGTAAAAGCAGCCGAATTGACATTAGTGTGCAGCTGGCTGTGTTTTATAATTCAATTTAAGCTTAATAATTTCTAGTAATGAACGCTAAAATAGGTTACTTATCATTTTCTATTACATAACCAGCTTCCGTAATTATTTCCAGTATTTTTCAGTTATTTTTGGGGAAAGTTATGCCTTTATGAAACAACTGACAGTAGAGAGATGACAGAAAATGATTGGAGTGGAAATATACACAACAAAGGTCCCACCGGACATCAGCTTGGGAATCTCTTTAAAACAGTTACAGCAAAAACATTATACACTTTATGCAAGGAGGATTTACTGTAGGACTGCTGTATTAGACTGCATTAGTTTTAGCTTTTGTACCTAATAATAAACTGGAAGAAATCAGTTTAGACATGAGTCTTAAAGAACGATTGAAAACAAAACAAACATATATTCAGGAGTGCAGCAAAGTAGAATTTTCATCATGGATTAATGTGCTGTTTATTTTTTGTTCTGTCTAGAAAATGTCAGAAAACTGTGAAAAAATCTCAAAGGTGCGATCTTCAAATGTCTGAAATCCAAACAAGTTCAGTTTACTGTTATATAAGACGAAGAAAAGAATCAAATCTACGCAGTTGTGAAGCTGAAAATGAAAAACGAGTCAAACTTTTAATAGATTATTAAAATAGTAAATTTTTGTATCGAACGAAGAATCGTTTGGCTCTAAATGTTGAATACGTCTTTTAATCCTCTCATGGGAAAAGGGAAATAGAGCTTTTGCTACAAAAGATTATTGTTGTTACTGTTTAAACTTTTAAACTAATATTAATGATAAACTTTTGTATTTCTGTCACAATATTCTGATCATCTCGTCCTTTATATGCTTTATCCCTTCCAAACACACACACACAGTTTCTCACATTAGCAAACAACTTCACAAGTTCCTTTTTTATGTCCTTTCTCACACACACACACACACACACAAACACACACATTGTTGCTCCTCTGTCAGACAGGTTGGCGGTTGACAGGCTGCTTCCATGGCGCCACCGCCGTTACCACAGTGACGAGTGTGGTGCACCTGACTGGAGCGCCCGCCATCACATACTCACACCAACAGACACACACACACTGTCGCCTTTCGTCTTTTCATCCCGACAGTCTGAAAGCGGAGCAGGACTCAAACGTCTCACAGCTCAGTTACAACACTCACTTTGACTGCATCAGCATTTTTATTACCTCCTGACGCTCACAAGCTTATATATTATGAGCCATAACATTGTCTAGCAAGATGGACTATTCACTTAATATTTTCTCTAATATTTTCACTTATGTTATTCTTTCAGATATACACTCGCTCAGTGATCGAGCCGCTCCCTCCTCCTCCAACCAAAGATGCTGCGACCTCCCCCATCTCTCAGCCAATGGCTGCCGCCGCAGCCGTCACCCCTGCCCCACCTGCAGAAGGAGCTCCCAGTAGCCCTCCCACTGCCAGCCCCGCCCCTGGGCCTTCTGTGCCCCGCCCCCAGGACAAAACCAGGAAGAAGAAGATGTCGGACGAGGAGATCCTGGAGAAACTACGTAAGGCTCATTCATACAGAATTGATAGGAAAAGCTCACCTCATACCTTTCTAAAATGCTCAGATTATCTTTATATAGATGTGCTTTGCATTGTTTTTATATAACGTATATTCTATATTATACATATTTATATCACAGAAGAAATTTTTGAAGTCATTTTCCCTTTAAAAATTATATTACCAGTAGTTTAAATTACATAAACGCAGGAACAAGCACACTATATGGCTGAAAAGTATGTGGACATGCCTTTGCGGACTTTTAGTTTAGGCTGTTTTATATGTTTTGGCTGTAGGGAAATCTTAATGCTGCAGCTTTCAGTGTGCTTCAAACTTTGTGGCATCAGTTTGTGTTTGTCCATTTTCCTGTTTCAACATGACAGTGGCACCGTGCACAAAGCAGCTCCATAAAGAAATGGTTTTCCCAGTTTCTCAGAGCCCTGACCTCAACCATCATCACTGTTAGACCTCGCTAATGCTCTGGTGTCTGAAAGGGAGACAATCCCTGCAGGAGGTTCAACATCTGGTGGAAAGACTGAAACCAGAAGAGAAATGTTCAGCTCCCACGTGTGGGTGTGTAATGTTTGGGTGTCCACATACTTTTGTACATATAGTGTATGTAATGATGTATGAAAGTGAGCAGTGAGAATGAATGTAACGATGATCATCCACACCACCGAGTCTTAAGGTTAGTTAGCACGAGTTACCTTTTAGCTTCAGAGAACAATTCAGTGAGAGGCTGTGAACCTCTTTCTCTGAAAAACTACGTTTGTGTGGTAAAAAGGGGGAAAATGAAGCACTGCTCAGATTTCACGTGTAGAAATAATATCTGCAGGTCCTCTCTGGAAAATATATCTGAAGCTGAGCGAAGCAGTGGCTCCACTTGGAACAAAGTTAAACTGTCCTAAGGCTGATGTCAAAGTCCAAGATGCTCCACTGATAAATGCAAAACCTTTATAAGGACATAAGGAGATTAAAACCAGTGAGCTGTGACCACTTACGAGGCCCCCAGAGTTGTGAATAATGTGGTTTTAATCTTACTGGGTATATGTATTAATAAGAAGTGCCTTTATTTTCTTTTAAAAGACTCTGACAGTCTAACTTTTCAAGCTCATCCTTTTCTTTTAAGAAAGGTCTAAACTGCACAGGCCTAATATTCTTATATATCGATATTATATAATATTATATCTCCTGTGATTTGTAATTAGTTTGTCTATAAATAGAAATCGTCATCCCATGTCTATGTCTCCGTAAAGTAAAAAATATGATGCTGTTTTTACCTGCTACAGTTCAGTGAGGACAGAGTCTCCCGAGTGCTAATTTTAGTCTCATTTACACTCTCCTTTTTGACAGGCAGTTTCATCACCTTCTCCTTATATGCTCACACACACAGTTTCTCTCACAGAGCAGGGTTTGAATTTATTTTAGGCTCAAGTTGGTCAGGCTGGTGGTGATGTTTTTTTAAACAGTATTTTATTATTTGTTTTAACAAGCAACTCACAAAACATAGTTCCTTACTAGTAAGACACTACTAAATATGAAATTAGAATATATGAAAAACAAATAATTTCTCATGGTTAATAGTTGGGAGGGTATTTTACTAATTACATGAGCTTCTTCCATAATACTGTGCCTGTTATTTCTTTAGTCTTCCACATCATGATGAAAATAATGGGTATTAAAATTAAAGCACACAGATTGCTATAGTGTTCTGTGTTTGCCAATGTTAGTGAGGCTTGTTACATAACGTTATCACATCCCACTAACAAAAGAAACAGTGTCTCAAAGTGTCCAAATAATCCTGTTAAAACTTTAGTTTATTGAAGTGTTAAGTCTCAGTCTGTCACGTTTCCAACATGGTGGCCTGACACTCAATGAAAGAGCTGTGTTGACTTGCTCTGCCACAGCTAACAGATGCTAACAGGATGGTGGTTTTGTTTTCTCAGAAATGAACCACAGATATAAAAGTATTTCAATTGTCCTCAGTGGTTTGTTGCGCCGACCGCAGGGAACCCTCAGCCTTTTTTTCTTGAAGCTCCACTCCGCTAACTGTAGCAGTTAACATGAAACAGATGTGAATATTTACAAGTCAAAGTTACACACACACACACAGGTTATTTATTATTTTTTTTTACTTTATTTTTGCCTTGATTTAATGCCTTGAGATCAACCATGTAAAACTACATCCATCCATCCATCCATCCATCCATCCATCGTCAACCGCTTATCCTGCGTACAGGGTCACGGGGGGCTGGAGCCAATCCCAGTTGACATCGGGCGAATGGCAGGGTACAACCTGGACAGGTCGCCAGTCCATGTAATACTCCTTATTTTAAATTTTAAATGAAGTAAAAACAATTATCAGTATGAAGTATTCATAGTATTTTACTTTCAGCTGATTTTATAGCTATAAAAATATCTTAGTTATTAAAACAAGCATGATTAAAGTCCAGATTTATCATGACATCCATGAGTCTTAAAATTGTTAAGTTTGTTAAGTTTTACACCATGCGCCATGGTATACTGGTGCAATAATACTTTGATACTTTAAAAGCCCATACTTGCAGTATTGGAATGTATAAAATATGCAAAATGAAAAAATATTATATATGTTGAATGCTCTTCTCCTAATGATATTTAAAGGTTAAGTGTGTAAGTTTTAGTGGCATCTAGTGGTGAGGGTTGCGAATTGCACCCTCCCTCCCTTATCCAAGCGAGTAGTATAGCTACGGTGCCTGAGACAGGACAAAGATATCATCTATGAGATAGCAGAGAGTTACCAGTCAAGAAATTAGGTTTCTTTAGATAGATATATTAAGATATTATATTTACTTAATTATTCAGTTTTATATTATTATTATTACTTTTTCATTAATAAACAACAGCCACATCAAGAAATGAAGTTCTACAGGATGCTTTTAGATAAGCATGCAAATATTACCAAAATGTCTTTTTGTTTTTTTGTTTTTTTAAATACAACAGAAACACAAAGTAGTACTGACAGCCTTAACTTCAGCTTGTAGTAAAACGGTCATGGGCATTTAGCATGTGAAAGTACAAATTACACATTTGTGTGCACAGTGACAAAGCAATATCCTATAATAATATAATGCAAATTCGGAAAGTATTCATTATTGGTCACTTGATAGGCACACAGTCTTGTTATAGATCACCATAAGCAGTAAAAAGAAATGCATGTTTTCCACCAGGACAGTAAAATGTGAAGTTTAGCTGCTGATCTGAGCTTCCATGCTGTTACCGTTTTATTGACAATAATATTCATCAGCTGTTTGAGTCACGAAGGTAACGGCACATTTCTGTCCATGTATCAAAGCCATAACAGAGCGCTGGAGCATAACTACATGAAATTACAATCCAACTACATATTTTTTTTCTACCAGCGCAGTATAGGTTTAGCTGGCTGATCTGAGCTTTGATGCTGGAAGCTGCCTTTTATTGCCAATTAGTGATCAGCTGATTGTCTCAGGAACATAAGGTACAAAGCCAAAACAGAGCTCTGGAGAGAGAGAGTAACTACATATTTTACACCACAAGCCAAAGCCAGCGGTGAAGAATAAACCAATCAAACTAAGCTTACATGATTTTTCTACGAGGGCAGTAAAAGTTTAGCTGGCTGATGCTTCCATGCTCTAAGCTAACGTTCCGGTTTTATTGCCAATTAACGTTACTGATCAGCTGATTGTCTCTCGCTAATGTAAGCAGCAAAGCCAACCCACAGGCTGGAGAATAAGTAGGCGACATGAAATTAATCCAACTACATATTTCACACACCTCACGTCTCTCTGTGATTATGGCCAGCTTTAAGCTAAAGCTATCAAACACCAGTTTTCATTTGCAAGTCTGACAAACTTAATTACCTGTCCAGCAAAAAACAGACAACTTCAGCACCGCTTTGAAAACATCTGTCCCACATTATAGCCTTCCATCTGGGAAAATCCACAACATCCGTGATTTCTGCTGTCAGCTGTTTGTATCTGTCCCGACATTATTCACTCTTCTTCTTTGTACGTATTCAATGTAGTGACAGGCGTCTACACTACCGGAATTATACAAGCAAAAGAAGAAAGCTGTGATGACGAAACGCGCGCTGTTTGTTCGTTGTCGGCTATTGGAGAAACATAACGACAAATTACAGCGACCTCCATAGAAGGGGGTGCCCGCGGTTATATAGATAAAAATGGCTCATTCTAAGGTAATAAAAACATAATGGTTCATTATGTAAGGTCTTTATGCACCACTGAAAATATAGTTTTGGATCTTATATTGCATTTCTGTCAATAGATCCTCTGAAATATTAGACACTGAACCTTTTAAGATCAATTCAGAACAAATTTCACAATAAGTCTTTTTTTTTTTTAAGTTTGTATGTCTCAAAACTGTCCATAACGACACATTACAAATCATACCCTAAACTAAGAAAGTCCTGTACTTTTAACTAAAATTAAGTAATAATTAATTCCCCTTAATTAAAGGTGATGTCAGATTTTTTTCAGCCTGTGATGTTTTAAAATCATGCCGTAGCCCAGAATTAAAGCAGATATTCAAAAGTACTTATTCCCCATATTTAAGTGTGTTGTTGTTTATTTGTAACTCTTGATATATTTTTTTAAATCATGCCCCACGCCTGTCCAGATGTGCTCAGATCTCCCTCTGCTGGTAAGACTAGGATACTGCATCTCTGTCTGTCTGTCTCTCTGATTGACAGACCTGATATCCACTGTCCCCGCCCCAACTGTCCAATCCTAGCGTCTGATTGGTCGTCCTCTCTTTCCATCATCCAGTCTCCTGCGTTACCAAATGACTCCAAGTTTTGTCCTTTAATCACTTTCCTACTGTGGACTCTGATTACTGAACTGCAGACAGAGCTGCTTCAGCTCTTTTCTGTCTTTCTTTTGTTTGTTGTGCGTTCTTTCTTTCTTACCTGATGATTTTTTTTTCTTTCTTTTCCTTTTGTTTTTTTGCATTCTTTCTTTCTTTCTTCCTTTCTTTCTTTATCATGTAGCACTTTGGGATTTGCTTAAATATATATATAATATATATAAAGTGCATTACAAATAAAATTTATTATTATTTATTATTATTCTATTTCCATTTCACTATCTTTCTAACTCATTTCTTTCTTTAGTTTTGGTTCTTTCTTGATTTTTTTTTCTTTCTTTCTTTCTTCCTTTCTTTCTATTTCCATTTTACTATTATTCTTCCTCCTTTCTTTAGTTTTTGTGATTTCTTTTTCTTTCTTCCTTCTTTCCTTCATGTCTTCCCTTCTCTTCTCTCCTTCCTTTTTTCTTAATTTCTTTCTTTCTTTCTTTCTATTTTCATTTCTCCATAGCCTATTTCTTCCTCCTTTCTTTTGTTTGTTTTTCATCCTTTTTTCTTTTTTGATTCTTTTCCTAATCATGTCTTTCCTTCTGTGCAGACTTACTGATTCAGATGGCTCTGTATCAGTTTTACTTTTCATTTATTCTTCTTTATCATCTTTTCCTATTCCGAATCCTGTTTTTAAAACTTTTCTTTACATCTCCATTTAGTTTTTTGTCTCATCCTTCGTTCCTTCTGTCATCTTCTTTTCTCTTCTGTCGTTCCTCTCTTCTCTCTGCCAGTCAGCATGCTGTGTTGACCTAAGTGTGATGAACATAGAGTAGAATTTGAATGGATAGAAAGACACCTGACTGATTGATATCCATTCAAATTCAGTGGTACTGTAAAATGAACATATGAATACCATTCAGCTGTGGATTACAGGGCCAGGTTTACTTTGTGTTGAGCCATATACATTGCTGTTTGTTTTGATCAACCAATAAGTTGGTTGTTGTTTTCTTTTTTTCTCTTTCTTTAACTCAGGGACGATCGTAAGTGTGGGAGACCCCAAGAAGAAATATACACGCTTTGAGAAAATTGGACAGGGGTAAGTCATAAATATACTGTGGCTGAGTTGACCTGTCAAGTCTCTTGTGATTGGTTCACTCACTGAATGCAAATGTGCATTATGTAAGTGTAGCGTCACATTACGTCCATACAATCTCCAATTCCCCTACATAAAACATATTCAAAAGAAACTGCATGTGTGAAACCTGTCAGGCCTCTAGGCATTACTGACGGGGTTTCTACAAGCAAAACATAAATATTTTAAATTTCTGCTAAACCCAGACTTACTTTTAACACTGTTTTTCAGGTAAGTCTTTTGGATCAAGTACAAGTCACATTTCAAGTCAAGAGATGTCACTTATACTGTACTTGTGCAAGTCAAAACACACATTAAGGAAATATTTATGTTTGCTTTATGTGGCAAACTCCCAGATGAGTTTATGTACATCACTACTGCTGGTGTAATTGAGAGTGCTGTCCATATATATATATACTGAGTAAACAATGAACCAACCCCTAAAATGTCAGACATGTACAGATTTAGAAGTATTAAGATTGACAAGCAAAGTAACTGTATGACTGATGGGGGGAGTCACATAAAAATTCTTTAGTCCTATCCAAAGCCCTGAAAGGTGTCTTGTAATTAGTTGAATGCCCACACAGGCTATAGTGTGGTGTATTCAACTTGACTAATATGGCTGAAGTTCAGTTAGGTGTGCTTCATTATTTTGTGAGAAGAGTTTTCGCTGCTACTTAAGGGTGTGTTACCTCACGTGACATTTGAAAAATGATCTTTTTCATCCAGGAAAGAAATGATGACATACTGAAATTTTTTAAAAGAGAGCTTCTCTTCACTTAATCACTTCACTTAATTTAACTATGACTTTCCTGATATAGGCATGAAACTCTTGCTGCACTTTGCTTTGAACTTATGCACTGCTGCACTTACTTAAAATACTGTATTCTACTTGATTGATCTAATGGGTCTATTGTACTATATCTATTTATTTAACTTGTACATCTTATTTTCCATTAATAATGGCATTCTTCACGTGTTTTTATATGAAGCACTTGTAATGTAATTTAGTATATGGCAGGTGCTATACAATTAAAGTTTGTTAATATTAGTATTACTATTATTATTAATGTACAATGTGTAACTGGAGCTCTGCTGTCTGTTTTCAGGGCATCTGGAACGGTGTACACTGCTATAGACATCGCAACAGGACAGGAGGTCGGTTTGCTTTATCACCCTCCATATTTCCCTACTTTCTACATTTCTCTTGTTTTCCATTCTCCTTCAGTTTACAGCTAGCCACACGCCTTTTTACAAAGAGAATATTAACAGCGCTAAAAATACATGTTTGTGATGTAAAATCAACTGGCACACTGAAAGGAAACCCCGCTCTCACAGGTCACCACTTTTCTGGGTGCCCTTTGCGCATTATGACTCGGATACCTCTTAGACGACCCCTGATAACAACCTAGTTTTAATAATAGGTCACTGGCCTGATCTTCTGTATTAAATTTCAAAAAGCTTGCTAGTCAACCCCTTTCTTCCTCTCACTGGCAGGTTTCAGAGAGTGGGGTACTAACATTATCTGAAGTGCTGCCAGCTTGCTGTTTATCTGTATTGAGGTGTGTAGGTGTAGGCAGTGTAGATGTTAAAGTAAAAGAATACTAACTTACCAGTCTGGAAGAGTAGGAAGAAAATTAAGACAAAAAGAGACTGTAGTTTCTTAAGGTTTGCACTTACCTAAACTTATTTATTTTTAAAAAATGCAACAAAAACAAGCCCCCAAAAGTTCCCCCTTTTTTTTTTTTTAGCTCTAGGGTCAGCAACTTGAATGACTGATCGGAAGGAAGGACTTCACCTCTTTTCCAAGCATTCATTGGCTGCCAGAACTCAGCCATCAGATTAATTGGTTTTTACATTCTCACCTCATATCCTTCCTTTTTAATAGCGTACACTTACTGCCGGTAGTTGCAACACCCCTTTGCTCTAGTCACAAATTAACAATAAAAAAAATATAAAGTAAAATAATAAAACATATAATGTAGATTCAACAAACGATGATTGTGTATTCTTTTCTCATTTCCAGTAAATAAAGATCACATATACTGAGAAATGAGCATTTCTTCTCTAATACATCTTAAATGCATCACACAAATGAAAATCACACACAAAATGCCAAAAAAAGACATCAAACACGGGTTGTCACTATTTTTTTTTACAAAGAAAACCCCTCCCTCTGTTCTTTTAATGTCAAAATGATGCTTTCATTTTCACAATGGCTGATGGCGTATAGGCAAATAGCGCCTTCTCTCCTGATTAAAATGATTAACTCGATGTCATCATGGAATGCATCTAGGAGACGTACTTACAGAAGACAAGTGTTAAAGTTTACTGAAAATGAAAAAAGAAGTCCTGACCTTCCCCTCTATCACACCTTTTTTCACACCTCCCCTCATGTGCGCAAGATACATACATGTGTTGTCAGGGACACTTTACCTTGTGGTTAAATTTACAGAAAAAAACCTTAGCTTCCTCTTTACTGGAAACTAGCATTATTTTGAGACTTGCACTGACGCTGAGTATGTCTAACCATACAAGATGTCTATGAAGATTCTCAGTCATCCAGGTCATAGTTATCCAACGAAGGTTAAAATGAAGGGCAACTGGACTTGGTTGAAGATACTGGAAGACGTTTCGTCCCTCATCCAAAGGACTTCTTCAGTTCTGACTGACTGGCAGGGAAACTCAGCTATTTAACCTCAGTGGGGTCGTTTGCCAGGATCGTCGGTACTGCTGGTTCGTTAGTGTTCCTTGTTGCTGTGACGACAGTCGTTACAGTCGTTGAGACTACCTGTGGCCAAGACTGAACGACCATCGTTGGTATCTTCACCTGAGGCCAAGACTGAACGACCATCGTTGGTATCTTCACCTGAGGCCAATAGGTTACGTTTGTTAAGTTTCCTGGGAAGTGATGAAAGGACAGCATTGTAAGTGGGGGATAAGTGGTGGCGTAGACCCCCTCCCCTGTTCAATGATGGCTTCTCCACCCTGGTGTAGATGCTTCCTTGACACCTCTTTCAAACCATCCATCTTCTCTGTCTAAAATGTGCACCTGGTGGTCCTCAAACGAGTGGTTGTTTTTTCCCTGTGTTTTTTAAACCCAAGAACACACTAAGACAGATACTGGTCCACCCCAAAGACCGCACACCCAAACACAAGAAGATACCAACGATGGTCGTTCAGTCTTGGCCTCAGGTGAAGATACCAACGATGGTCGTTCAGTCTTGGCCACAGGTAGTCTCAACGACTGTAACGACTGTCGTCACAGCAACAAGGAACACTAACGAAGTTCGATGACCCGGGATAACGACCCCACTGAGGTTAAATAGCTGAGTTTCCCTGCCAGTCAGTCAGAACTGAAGAAGTCCTTTGGATAAGGGACGAAACGTCTTCCAGTAGCTTCAACCAAGTCCAGTTGCCCTTCATTTTAACCCTCGTTGTCTAACCATACACAGACAAAGGTCTCTTAAGGCAAAGATAAGGTCAGGCACAAGAAAGATATTGGACTTATTAAATAATTAAATACAGTATCTCAACTTAAACAAACATCCATGTCCTGTAATTTTATGGCAATACTTCCCATCATTTTTAAGATATTCAGTCTGGACAAAAATGGTGGACCAACAGACAGACCACAGGGATTTGCTACTGAAATTGCTAAATAAAAAGCTCCTGAAAAACTAAAGCTCCCACACAGAAACACTGTTAAAGGTCGAAGAGGACGTAAAGGGAAAATAAAGTCCGTACCTGGATGATTTAGATGACTGTACACACAAAATGTTCACTCAGTTTTTGTTCAAAGTTAAACCATGATTCTGAGTGAGTCAGACTAAAGAGTTTAAATGGCAAATTTAGGGAGAAATTTAAACTAAATGTCTTTGTTAGAGTTAGTAGGGGTTAGGAAAGATGCTAGGTGTTAAAGGCAGAACAGGAAGTTTAAAGGAAACGTAGGTTCATCCGGGTAAAATGAAGCGAAGACAACGAGAGATTAAGGGGAGAGAGCAGCGAGTTCAGATGGAGTTTGCACAGTGAGGACATTGTGGCAGTAAACTGGATTTAAGTCTGGCTTCATTAGCGGTGACTTCCAAGTTAATTTTAAAGGAGCTCAGCTCGTCTGTCATGCTGATCTTCCTCAGTTTCACTCGCTGAGGATTAGTCTGTGTGCTTGTTTTAAACGTCTGCCTACAGCCTTTAGGATTTAGATATTTTGCCCGTCAGTGCCTTTTCTGGCTGTCGTCTGTCTTCAATTTCTTACCGTTTTACTTTTCATCCTTTTGTCTTTTATTCCCTGTCACATTATCTATTTCTTTTAATAAACCTGTCTGTCTTTCCTTTATTGTGCTCCTCCCCACGTTCTCCAACCTCTCCACTGTTTTTCTTTTCATTCGCATGTGAATATATGTCAAATATTTCTCTTTTTCTCTCTCAGGTTGCCATTAAACAGATGAACCTGCAGCAGCAGCCAAAGAAGGAACTGATCATCAATGAGATTCTGGTGATGAGGGAAAATAAGAACCCAAACATAGTCAACTACTTGGACAGGTTAGAGACACGATCCCACACACCATCACTTCACAGCATCTCCTTTGTATTCATTCACTAGAAAATGTGACAGGTGGGTGAGAAAACAGAAGATGACATTAGCATTAAACTCTGTTTTCCTAATGTACTGTAATGTATAGCGGCTCTCTTGGCTTTGCGGTTTTGCACACAGTTTTCTCCAGACAATCTGAACTATAAACGTAAGAATTGTAAATGTGTAATCATGTGTAAACAATGCACATTTCTTTATTTCTGGTATAAATATTTAGCCACAGTGAGAAGTGAGATTTAAACACTATTTGAGCAGCTTCTTTTAAAAAAAACAACAACATTGGAGCAGCTGGTGTATCTGTTTTCAGTGAAGACAAAAAAACTCACATTGTTTTCATGAAGAAAACAGTCGATACTCTGCCTTTTTCCATCATGCTGTGAGCAACCACAACCTGATTTCATTCTCCACACAGCAGCAGGACACAATAAAGGGAGTTTATTAGTGTGCTGAGGATTTAGAGGTGTCACCTGCAGCTCCTCACTGCTCCATAACTCCCTGCAGTGGTTAAACTCATCCACTGAAGAGAAAATGACAGAAATGACCATGTTGTTTTAGGTGAGCGAAGCCGTCCAGCAAATATACTCTCAATTTGATCCATCTTGCAATGTAAAAACAGTTTCTCTGTCTTAATAGAAAAGTAAATTTTTCCATTTCACGGATCTCTTTGGTGATTTCCAGCCTGTTCCCTGCTGTAGGACGATAAGTCTGCAACCATTTGCAATTGACTGCTTTTTTTTGCTGTTGCAGTTAATATTCTCAGGGGGTATCTGTCATAATTTTCAGACATTATTATGACTGTTTATTACCATGTCGGCGTGCTTTCGTGACCTAAAACCTTACTGGTTTCTTCAACCAGTTAGCTGGAACATAGTCATGTTTTCACTTCTGTTGTATTACCCTAAAAATGAACAGCTCTCTTGAGGTTCAATGGACTGATCTATCTATCTATCTCTCTATTTCTCACTCTCCCTCTCTCACAAATTTTCTGTTTATATTCATGTTTTTATTTCACACTTGCTTTGGCAATGTTTTCCATGCCAGTAAAGCCCCATTGAATTGAACTAAGAAAGCGAGAGAGAGAGAGATTGATGCCTGCAGACAAACCTTTCTGGAGGCTGCAGCTTTAAATTTGGAGGATTATATTTGGTTTTGGCAGGTTCACACTCAGCTGAGATCCTTCTGTTCAGGTTGCCGTTCCGACAACAAAAAATTATTTAAATATAAATTAGCCAAAAGTGAAGTTCCACGACTTTTCTTAGAAACCTGGAAAACACCTCTGTGATGTGCCAGATGTTTCAGGAGCTGTGGAAACACTGTAGGTATTAGTGAGGAAACGCAACTGAGCTGTGAACTGGGAAGACTGACGCATGATGAGAGGCTATTCAGTGCTGCTGTTGTCAACCAACCCACTCGTCATGTAGGGGGGGGTTCTCATGGTTACCCGTTTGTCTTGAGAGATATTTAGGAGGCACATGCAAGACTGGTGATAATGCTGTCATCCCCATGGAAACAACAATTTCACGGTCACTGATTTACTGTTTCTGTCCAGCCAGTATATTTTATATCGTACCTCTGCTGCTAATAATAAACTTTGTTTTGTTCTATAAATAAAGGTTGCAAAGTACTTGATAACATAAAATCAAGCTATGTTAGAGGCAAAATTACTAAGTGCTTTACAGCATGAAGCCAAGAATAGTAAAAGCCTGAACCACCCCAAAAAAATCAAACAAGAATAAAAGCAGATGGGCTTAAACTGTGGTGGTTACAAACGACTAGAGAAAGTAAGAGCAAGTCAGATTAACTAAAATCAGGGTAATCTACACGGTAAAAGGGAATCAGCCGCAGCTAACGAATCCTCTTAGATAAATTGTTCCAAATCCTCGGGGCTGACAAGAAAAGGCCAATAAAACTGACTTAAATATAAAAGTGAATAATAATATTAGAGGACAAATTCACAAATTGAAAAACATACAAATCCCTCCATTGAATTTCCTGTAGTGCAGCTGGAGTTTCCTCTGGTTCTAAAAAAACATTTCCTGTCTTCCTATATCGTAAATATATATACCTGCATATATTGATATTTGCACAGTTACCTGGTGGGTGACGAGCTGTGGGTGGTGATGGAGTACCTGGCCGGAGGTTCGCTGACTGACGTCGTAACAGAAACTTGCATGGATGAAGCCCAGATAGCTGCTGTGTGCAGAGAGGTAAGAGACGTGAGGCCCGCCCACTTTGACATCATCTCTCTTTCTAGCTGGATGATCTGCTAAAGATTGATTGTGGATTATTCAGAGTTTGGGGCAAACTGAGACCATGACAATGGGACATGAGGTTGATCTGTCTTGACCCCACTTGCAGCTCTGATCTCAGATCTGTTGGACTCATCAATCAAATGTTCAGTAATTGGAAACACTAAGTGACACAAAAAGAATTCTGTTATCTGCTAATTGTGATGAATCTGTGTTCACACAAACAATGAGGGTCCCTTTTTTAATATTAAAAATCATCCCTGATCTTAAAAACGGTGCTATTTACAGAATGTTGATAGAGGGAATACAAGAAAACATTCAGTAGATTTTGATACTGACTCTTCTGGATGGTTAAAGACGGACTAAACCTTTAATAGAATTATTACAGTAGGTTTAATGGTAATGGTGTCATAATGATGCATTATGTTTTGCTAAATATGGTGATGTCGATACATGAAGAAGTGTCTTAATGTGTCTCTGTGTCTCTGCCTCTCCAGTGTCTCCAGGCGTTGGAGTTCCTCCACTCGAACCAGGTCATCCATCGAGACATCAAGAGCGACAACATCCTGCTGGGCATGGACGGCTCTGTCAAACTCAGTATGTCCAACAACGGATTTGTCATTTCATTCTTTCAGTTTATTCATTCAGTGCATTTATTCCTTCTTTATTAACAGCAGAGTGTTGTTGTAGTTGCTCAGTGTGACCAGTGGGGGGAGCTCTCGTTGCACTCAGTGAACATGAGCCTTTATATTGTTATCTACAGTAGATTTAAGACACTTCATGTAAAAAACTAAAGCTGTTTTCTGGGGGGCCAAATATTTGTGTTGGAGGGAGTTGGAGTAAATATATCGCAGCTTTTTTCCATATCGAAGGTGTTGCTTGATTTTCTTTTGTTCATCTGAAGACAGAATTTCAAACATTGTGAGCACATGGACTCATTTTGTCTTCTCTCCTCCTCCCAGCTGACTTTGGGTTCTGCGCCCAGATCACTCCGGAGCAGAGTAAACGCAGCACCATGGTCGGGACTCCATACTGGATGGCTCCAGAAGTCGTGACCCGTAAAGCTTACGGCCCCAAAGTGGACATCTGGTCCCTGGGCATCATGGCCATAGAGATGGTGGAGGGGGAGCCGCCTTACCTGAATGAAAATCCACTCAGGGTGAGATGTGCTGCAGGCTAACCAAGAGAGTAAAAGCTGATAAGCACGGCAAAAGATTATTTTTTCTTATTCATTGTAAAAATAGTTTGACAGTAAATACCAACACAAATGCATTTGTTAAATATTGCCTCGATATTAAGACGATAATTTATTTCTGGAAATAACATTTGAATAAATGGGGGTTGTATTATATTTGAGGGAGTTGTAGATTCACACCTTCACACAGGAGTGTCTCCCAGAAGGATTTTGTGATTGGATCCCTGCTGCTTTTATAAGACAGTCACAGAATAGAAAACTTTCAGGTTCCAGCTAGAATCTGATCTCAACAACATTATTACCCCTTATGATAAACTGGTCATAAAGACAGTACTGCTGTAACACCAGCTCCTACAGAGGGTGCTGCATTATGAACTGTTGCCTTAATGTTGCTAGGATAGCAAGTTTGTTCAACCTGCAGGACGTTTTGACAGGACACGGAACGCTTTGTGCTGCCAGAGAAAATAAATTCCTGAAAGTGAAACGAGTCGTTGGAAGAAACAGACCAGCGATCAAGTCAAGCAGCCAAGAATTACTGCTGTTACACAACGTCATAATGAGGAGCTCAACAAGAATAACTGAAACACGCTAACTCTCACTGTTATCGCCTCAGCACTACAGTGGCTCATACAGAGACAGTAACATATTGGACACCACAGTTAGTTACTCAGAATAAAAAAAACATATTACTACAACATAAACAAGAGTAACTCAGATAAAATCAGACGAAGGATTTTAAAAGTTTCACGCTTCATGAGATTCTGACTAACATGCTGCTGGTGTGTTTTGCCTAGGCGCTGTATCTCATAGCTACCAACGGGACGCCGGAGCTGCAGAACCCGGAGAAACTGTCGACGACATTCAGAGACTTCCTGAACCGATGTCTGGAGATGGACGTGGAGAAGAGAGGGTCGGCTAAAGAGCTACTGCAGGTACTGTGTGTGTGTTCATAGTCTGTACATTATAACATAATAACAAAATTGAAAAAGAAAGAAAAGAAAGACAAAAACATGTTCATTAAATATCCCTATTAAATAAATATTCAAATATACAATAAAGACAACTATGAATATAATACGCAGAATATTTATTATACCTCCCAGCCCTTCCCAACAGGTTACAACAACACATTTAAAAGGATCTGGAAAATAACACTCTTGGTCAATGCGTTTTGTTTCTAAATTTATTTAGAAAGTTTTGGAACATTGTTTATGTGTTCGTTGACTGTTTATTCATCTTGGATGGATGAACTGGATATTATCTATATCTTAATCCTATTTATGTTCTTTGTGTTCATTGGTGTAACTATGTATTTATACTGCATTCACAGCCGAGTTTCTCTTGAAAAAGAGATTTTAGAAAGGAAAAATTAAAACAGATTAGAAGGAAAAGTAACTGACAAACAGAAGGATAGAGGCAACAGAAACTAGTCTGATGTACACATTGAAACAGTGTGTTGTTCCAGTTTCTTGTCTGGGTTTTTAATAATACTGTATACAAACAGTAGATCAAGTTTTTTTTTTTCAATACTAGACTGGGAAATGAGGCGGGCGCCGAGGCGGAGGAAGAAGATGGATCCTTAAGTTAAAGTAACAATACTGCAGTATAAAAATGCTTCAGTGCAATTTAAAATCCTGCATTGCAAATGTTACTTAAGTAAAAGTACGTAAGTGTTATTAGCAACATACTTAGAGTAGCAAAAGTAAATGGTAAATTTGGATGTTAGACGACAGGTTACTGGGCTGGTTAGTGACCACACAAGACGCAGAAACATCCATTTGCACTTGACTAACAATAAGCACTTTGTCTGTCAGCGGTGGTTTAGGAAATAAAAACTGAATCCAGCCCCAGTGCTTCCAGCTCACAGACAGTTGTGTAGGTGGAGAGACGTGGAGGTCGTGTTGAACTTAGCAGCAAAACAAGTTGTGTAACTGTTCTATGACTCAGAGCTCCGAGGTGATACTGGGACTTATAATGTTTCAGAAGGAGGTCTGTTTCAGACGTAATTCAATTTAATGGTTCCTTTGTAAGAGTGTGTGTACGTGGTTAGAGTCCTTGTCCCTGAAGTAACTGTTTAAAGGTGGATTCAATTCTGTGTGTGTCTGTCTGTCTGTCTGTCTGTCTGTCTGTCTGTCTGTCTGTCTGTCTGTCTGTCTGTCTGTCTGTCTGTCTGTCTGTCTGTCTGTCTGTCTGTCTGTCTGTCTTAAATAAGAGGTCTCATCTGGGATTATGTAGGCCTGCACATCACAGTTGTGCTTCAGGCCTCTGTGGTATTTCAGTCTAACATGACAAGGGGGCTGCCATAGTTGCTTTAAAGGGGGGATCCACTGTTTTAAATCACAGACTGTCTATAAATATAATAAGGGCATGTATCCAGGATATTTTGGCTTTATTTTGGTGCAGTGGGAGGAATTATATATATATACTGACAAAAACATTTTTATAAGGATTGTGGCTCTGTCAGAGATGATGATTATGTCAAAAAAAGTGTGTCTTTTGCTATAGTTGAGAATACATCACAAAAAAACAATAGGATTCAAGTCCAAGAAACTTTGCCTGAACACCCTGAAAACCTGACCACACTAACACAGTGCGACACCACCCCTGAGCTCTCATAGGCAACATTTTATAACGAAAAAAGGGGAGCTCCAACAATTTAGTACTGCACTTCCTTAGAGTTGGGGGACTCGCAAGAAACAGAATAAAAAGAAAAACATTTTAAAATTGTAGCAGCTGAGGCTGAAATATCTTGACTTCCAAAACACTGAATCCTACATTTCCCATACATGCAACTCAGTAGCATCTTTAATGAGTCCCCGTCTGCCTTTATAAATGACCTCCACACCTGAAGTTTATAACGCAGGATTTCTGTTTTAAACCCACGCTCATCCATCATTTAAATTAATTATTAAAGAAGTCATAAAGAAACATTAACATTATGTGATAATTAAACCACCAACATTATAAATTAGATTTTACCAAGTCTTTTATTGGTTTTTGTGTAGTTTGTCTTTTTGTACCATTTGAACACGCTGAAGAGATATTTCTACAGAAAGGTCATAACGCACATGAGGGTAGCCATTTATTTATTTTTCCTGAATGATGAATCAACAGGTAAAACTGTTTTTAACATCCTGAGAATCTGTTTCCTTTTTTTCTATAGTGAATTAAAATATTTCTCTTTTTTTTTTCTCCAACTCCCTTCCCTCCCTCCATTCTTCTTGTCCTTCCCTTTCTCCTCCCTGGACCTCTCCTCTTCCCTCCTCCCTCTGTCTCTTTCCCTTCTCCTCTCTCAGCATCAGTTTCTGAAGATGGCGAAGCCTCTCTCCAGTCTGACTCCTCTCATTGTGGCTGCCAAGGAAGCTGCCAAGAACAACCGCTAGCTAGTTTTGCACTCATTATCTTGTCTCTCTATCCCTCTCTCTCTCTTTACCATCTCTCCATCCTCTCTCTTCTTCGATTTCAGTAGATGGGACGGCATTGATGGCTGCTGGCTTCAAATGCCTACAGTCCTTCCTTTCCCTCCGTTCTTCTTTTTGTCTTTTATAACCTGAACCAACCCCCAACCCTCACAGGGAGAAAGAAGGGTGGTTTCTTCCTGTAACTTCTTTTTCGACACTCCACTGGACTCAGACAGGAAGCCGGGGGTTAACTGAATGACGTCATCAGCCGAGCTGTGATCAAGTGAAGTCATCGCTGACATAACCACCACCTCAGCCAGTATGAACAACCCAATATGAGAGAGAGAGAGTGTTTCAACAGAGCAACAGACTCATGGGAGTTTTTTAAAAATACATTTTGTTTTTCTACCTTGTCTGTAAAAGCCCCGAACCACAACAGCCAACCAGCACCCTCTGCTGCAGACTGTGTGTGTGTGAGCTTCCTGTCATGCGTCTATGGGTCTTAGTTCGACTTATCTTCTGTGTAAAAGTGCATTTGTTGATTTTCATTTTATCACTCTCTTTTTCTAAAATAATTGTGTGTGTGTGTGTGTGTGTGTGTACATGCGAGTGTGTGGATTGTGTGTATGTATTTTTGGTCATGGGGGGATGTTGGCATATTAATTAAGTTGATTGTAGCGTTACGTTCTGTAGTTTTTGACACGGAGCAGGTGAGGTTTGGTACTTTGTCGTGTCTGCGGTGTGAGCTGTAAGTTAGAGATTATTAATATTAATTATAATAAGGACATTATGGCGTGCTCAGAGCCATCGATGGACTAAGTTTGGCTATAAATGGTTTTCCTGTTTTCAAAACAGCCATTTTGACTCCATGGTATCTTTCCAGGAGGAAAAGTGAACCAGTGAACTGGACTGTCATGTGGCAAAGAAAACGTAGTTGTTTACCCAAAATCCACTCTGCCAAACTCTCTCCATCTGCAGCTCTGGGTTCTTCACTGTCTGCGGCCTCGATGCTGAGACTGTGAGGGAGAGAATGTGCATGTCAACAACCTTTTTTATACGGTACGTTTAAGACGGAGAAAAAATGATAATAAATGAGTTGTGATAATGTTGAAATGTAAAGTGACGATACATGAAGGATGCTTGTGTATGATGGGAAAGATCATATCTTAATCCTATTTTCAGAAGAAGACGGGGACAAATAAATGCTGCAATGGTGCAAAGCTATTGGATCCCCAGTAACCCGCTAAAAATAAGGTGTATATTTTACATGTAAAAAAAAAAAAAGCTGCGGTGACAAAAAAAAGACGACAACAATCTGTTTCATCTTTTGTTTACAGACTTTTTTTATAGTTGATCAATGTCAGAAAATGAGTTCAACACCTGTTTGGATTTTTTTCCGCTGAATTAAATCAACAGGTTTTCTCGTCTGCAAAAAAAACAACTGACGGGTCACAGGTTCAAATCCCGCAAGAGCTAAAGTCTCCATCAGCTGCCACGGTTGTTCGCTCTGCATTTGAGCGTCAGATAAAGAAAACACCTGCAATGTAAATACCCACCAAACATCCATTCAAAACTCTCACTTTGGTTCCTTCTTACTTGTTTTTATTGTTTTTTTTAATCTAGTGTTGGTGTACCTCTGGCCTTAAACTGTTTCAAAGGTGCAAGACTACTTTAGTACCAGTCTGATGGCAACGATACACCGGCAACATTTTTAGGCAACAGTGAAAATTGTCAACAACCGTGCTGCAATTACTTTGATTAATCTTTGTTAATCGATTCATCTTTAAATTTGTAAAAAAAAATCAAAACATTTTGAAAACCTGTTCATCACAATATCCCAGAGCCCAAGGTTATTTCTTCAAATGTCTTGTTCTGTGCAACCAACCCTTTCAAAACGCAAAAATATGTGGTTAACAGTGATAAAATCAAATGATAAAAGCAGAGTGATTGGCATGTTTGTTTCAAAAAGTAAATAATTAATCGATTATCAAAGAATTTGCAGATTCATTTTCTAATCAGCTGATAATTGCAGCACTGTAACAGGGAGAGGGTTCGCTTAAATCACATGGTTATGATCATCATTGTGGTCACAGATTTGAACTCTGCAGCACCCAGTGTGAACAGTGCCTACTGAAGTGCCTTTGAGCAAGGCACTAAAGCGCACGGCTGCTTACACTGGCTGCAGTACAGAGGGTGAAAACACTAAACATGTATACACTGCCTGAAACTGTTGCCACTGTTGGAGTTTGTGTATCCTGGTCTGAACACTGTTACTAGTAGTGACTATTCTGTTTGAATTTCTCTTGAGACCAGGATGGTCTGAACCAGGTGAACTCTGTGTGTAGGTTAAAGTTTAGGTGTCAATAAATACTCCTCAAAAGAGAAAGTAACACTAACAATCAGAGACGTAAGAGCTGTCTGTCAATGAAAAACTACAGGAATGCTACTTTAAATGACCCTTTAAATGTTGGGTCACTTTTCCCATGTAATGGTGTTTTGATGGGATTGTATTAATGTTGTCTACCTACCAAGATGGATCGGACCAAACAATATTTAAGATTAATTCTCCAGTTAGTTTAATCTGCTGCGGTGTACCAGATGGGATGAGTTTCACAATGTTATGTTGGATAAATTGCATAAGTAGTTTTACATTTTAGGAAACATCATAGAATTATCATAAAACACGTGGGAGTCATTTCATTAGCACTGATGGAAAACAAGATAAATAGATGTCCTAATTCAATCCATACGGTTCCGTTGTGTTCAGTCGTATAAATCCGGTAGCTTTCCTTCGTAAGAGCTTGTTTACAGCGTCCCCTCTCCCAGTGGACAAGGAAATCTTTTTAATACCCCAGAGTTTCAGGCTAGAGGCCAATCCATGATTAGCAGTCACATAATGACGAACAATCGCTCAAGATTCTTAGTGCGAAAAGCCGTCTTATATAGCAATCCTCAGTTTTAGAGCTCGTTTAGTTTGGCCGACATACAACAGAACAGGTACCTTTCACTATATAGTGAGGTTCATAAAAGACTGGAAGTTTCTTTCACCTTTTTAGCTGCAAGATTTCTGCTCCATCTGCAAAATTTCACTGAAAAAGAGTTGGTGGTTGCTCCTATGTAGGAGGGGTGGGGGCCATTTGTCCGTTGTCCGCTGATCATCCTTTGCGACCATTTTATACCTGCCAAGAGAAACTACTGTTCCCGAAATAAGATAAAAACCATAACATTCAGCCTTGATAAATCGGCCTCTGTAGGAAACAAACAAACAGACTGATGCTGACTCTTACAAATACTGCTGGACCTTAGAACAAGTAGAATTAATTAATTTGGTAAAGACTTATTTTACCGAAGAAGTGACCATCACCAAGCAGGACACAGTTCTCTTATCAGCTTATAGGGGATTCAGGTCTAAATAAGGGTTCAGTCCAGGATGAGACGGTCAATGCAGGCTTAACTGCCCAGTGTATCAGAGCCATAATTTATCTGTTTATATATAATTTTGATGATTTGACACAACTCTGAAAAATGAAAAAAATAAAACTGTACAAAAACTGGATGTCTGGTCTTTCTTTTCTTTTCTTTTTTTTTTAAAGCGTTTCCTGAGCTCGTGGCAACAGGGAGCAAAAACTGATTGTCTCAGATTTTCAGCATTTTATAATTAAGGTTTGTTCCACACCTGCAAGTACACAATGTTTCCTAAACTAAGCTTTGCCTAAAATGTCACAGAGCCAAATCTGTACTGAGTGCAGCACTGTTCCTGATAGTGACCCTATCTAACTTGCAGTCAGGGCAAATAAGGGAAAAAAAATTTGTGCATCTTGGTAGCTCATTTTTATTTAATTTAAATGTTACTTTACATTATGTTGTATTTATCAGGGACAATGCATAATATATGGGCTAATTCTCATCTGCAGTCCCTGGGCACGTTCCAGTTGTGGACAGGTTATTACGATAAAATATTAATAATAAATCCAAACCTTACACTTTTTATAAAAAGCTGACTTGAATCAAATCAAACTGACCACTTGTTAAACAAGACTCAAATGAGCCAGTCCTCCCAAAACAAAACAATTTTGGTGCACCAAAATGTTCAAAATATTTATTCAATAATGCCAAAACTTAGATAAATGTTTCAGAAGAAACTAACTCAGGTGTCACTGGAGAAATTTCAGACTGCTCTTTTTGATTTTGTCCAGCTACAGGAAATATTATCCACCCCTCAAAACTGCACTGCACTATACGGACCATGTATAGCTTTTAATGATAAGATACTAGAACACCAGTACTTATTCACTATTGCCTTGTGTGCTCTTCTAAAGTCCAGCGCATTGTTAGCCGAGTAGACTGACCACCAAATAATAATACTGAGAAGTTTTATTTATGATTTCCTAATAGTCTTGAAAACTCTAAAGCCTTTCTTTAAGTCAATTGTGTAATCGACTGTTCTTTGCCTGAGTCTGGGGCAGAAATGAGCCTTAAATCCGTCTGGCAGCGACGGCCGCCTGCAGCCGCCGTCCGTCTGGCTGTGAAATTAGATCCCGCCTGTTTTTTCTTTTTTTTTCTTTCTCCTTCTAATTAAAAGTGGTAATTACTGATTGCCTGCTTCCTTAGCTCCCCTTTCATCTGGAGGCTAATAGGGAATTCTTTTTTTAGATGGAAGTGAGGCTGTATTGCAGCACGGTTTTTAAAATAAGTACAGATCTGTATTTCCTTCAATCCTCTATCTCACACCTGTTTGTTATCCTCTTTTCTTGTGGCTGCATCCTTTTTATCCTCTCATCTCATTCCTTCAGCCAGATCTTTCCATTTTAATAGGTGAGATTTTCTGATTTATAAATGTCTGTTTTGTGGCTCAAATTCACAATTTCATTCAAACTATATCCAGCAATCACTTACACCCTGACCTCACCCATCCCCTCTCCCTCATCTCAGCCCTCCACCTCCTAATGTCCACAGTAAAGTGGACAGTCTGTCTGTGGCAGTAATCCTCCTTAAATCCTTCACACACGCTGCTGTCCCCACTCAAGTCTCAAGTGAGACTCCACAATCTTCTCCTGCTCTTCTTCCTTTGTCTGACTTAAACCGTTCATTTACATATTGATCAGATTTTAAAACTATACTACAGTAACAGTATTTAAATATTTAAAAGCAGTAGCCCCTCTGCAACCACTTCTGTCTTCTGGCTCAGTGCAGAAAACATTTTGTACATTAAAAGTCATCAGATTGCACATCGTAACTGTTGGATGCCAATCATTTTGGTAATGGAAGCATTAAATAGGATGTGTAATATTTGAAATTAGGGGTCTAACCTTTTCATATGCAATTTTAACTTCAGTCTTGAATAAAACTGATTAAGAGAATTTTATTAAGTTGACAAATTGAGGTAGTTTTTTATGTTTCTTTTCTTTTATTTTCTTCGCTCTTTTAAAAAAACACAAGCAACATTTTAATTATTTATTATTTTATACAATACCAACATTACTGATGATTGTTAATAGACAAAATATTTGGTTAAAGTTGAGCATGAAGATGTAATAAAGACAGAAATGTAATTTCTTTGTTCAGCTCTGTCTCCATTGTCACCAGAGAGACCGAGCTCTTCTTTACCAACTGTAAATATCCTGCAGACAGAAAAAGTGACACAGGATTTCTGCTTGTTTCTTTTTCATGGTAGAAACTCTCTGATCCTCTGCACTCTGTCTTCCTGCTTCCCTCATTAACTCTTAATTCGGTCCTTCCTCCCTCGTGCATTAAATATTCGGTCTCTCTCAGTGTATCTTCCTCTGCTGGTGGTGTATGTGTGGACAGGAATGAGGCTGGTTTCTGCTGAAGTGGCAGAGAGAGGAGGATCGACAGAGTGTGACTCATCAATGACAAGGACAAACAACCACAGAGGGTGAAACTGAATTGAAAAGAAGACTGCGGTGAGAAAAGAGTGTGAAGTGACAAAAAAAGACAGATGTGACTTAAGAGGTAGGTGGATAGGTGGAGCAAAACAGGAAGGTTTAGAAAGGACTGAGAAAGAGAAAGATGTTTTTTAAGTGACAGGAGAAAGGAAAGGAGTATTTAAACAGGCTTGAAAAGAGTAATATTTTTTATTCACTATCTCAGTTTAGTGTATTAACATGCTAACATTTGCCAACACAATTAGTCATTAGCATTGTAGGTGCTTGGTCTTAAATCAAAGTAGTAGACAAATTAAAACTATGGCGCCAGATGAAAAGTTGAATTAAATCACCAAATTCATTACAATCATCTTGAAGAGATCATGGATGTCTGTATGAAAATGTATGACAATCCACCAAGTAATTGTCAAGATATTTCAGTCACAAATGTGAAACTCGTGGTGGCGCTAGAGGAAAAGTTTGAGGATTATCAAATTTAGTAGAATTTCTCAGAGGACCATGAATATTGGTACCAAATATTATGGCAATCCACCCAGTAGTTGTATAGTAGTGGCTATTTCAGTCTGCACTAAAGTGATAGACATAAAGTCCAATACAATGCTTAGTATACAGTAATGTTTACGATGCAAACAAACAAACAAACAAAATTAGACTTTGATGCTGTTCAGAGTATTGTGTCCACGCTGAAGTTTGTAGTCAAAGAATAGATTTTAATTTACCAGAATTACAAACAAAGGAGCCAATCAAAATAGCTTGCCACTGTCAGTTTCTTATACAGTATAAAGAAAACATGAAACAAACAGGCTTTGAGGAGAAGAACTCAGGTGTGGAGACTCAGAAGAATCGTGGTGGTTATTTTTTCAAAAGGCAGGTAGAACGAACAGAGGCGGTTGTCTGCAAAGCAATAAACATCTGCGGAGTTGCTGAAGCAGTAAAAGCTAAAACCTGAGACAACCTGTAACATAAATGTTGAAGAGATGCAGCCACAGTAAACTGACTGCTGGTGAGTGAACTGAACAGAGAGATGTTTAAATGTGATAACACACGGGCTGCCACAGAAACAATAAATGACTCATCAACTAGCAGCAGCGTATTAATGAACATAAACATTACATGATTGTTGTACATGTGATTCCGACACCATGGGTATTAATCTGCTGCTGTAACAGCCTCTTCTGGTTTCACGTTTTCCACCACATGTTGAACCTGCTGCAGGGATTTGATCCCATTCAGACAACAGAAGAACAGTGAGGTCTAAAGGTGATGTACGGTGATCAGGACTGGCTCACAGTTGGTGTTCTAGTTCATCCCAAAGGTGTTTGATGGAGTTGAGGTCAGGGTTCTGTGCAGGCCAGTCAAGTGTTTCCACACCAAAAAACATTTTTTTTGTGGAGCTGTTTATGCTCATTTAAGCATAAATTATCCAAATTTGAAGTCCCAAAATTTCAATTTATAAAAGAAAAATTGCATGGAAACAGGCTTCGTGATACTAAAATGCACATGAAGCACGAGTCCTTTACCTCCACTCAAGCTTTCGCTCCACTTGGGAAACTAAAACATCAGATCTGTGTAGAGCAATAATGAGACTCTAATCTTCCTCACATTAATACATGAAACTAATACATGAAAAGTTGTATTTCCGTTGCTTTTTCCACTCTTAATCCATTAGAGGTTATTTTTCCTAGTTATGTCACCATTTTAAACTCTCTTCTACTACACTGATTTAAGGGCACCCAGCTGGAGAGTTGTGTTTATCTTGATGCATATTCGTGTAACTGTGGTGGAAGGAAAATGCACATTCATTGGCATTTTCTTTTACTGCTTTTCTGGAATTTCAGTCAAAAATTGCACTAACTTTGTATGGAAACTTGACTATTGTCTTCTTAAAATAGGAAAGGATCTCCTCCAAAGTTTTGACACAAAGTTGGAAGCACACTATCATCTACAATATCACTGTATGATGTAGCATTAAGATTTCCATTTATTGGAATGGGCCTAGCTCACAGCCCCAGACAAAATATTTCGAGAGGTGTCCACATACTTTTGGCCACATAGTCAGAGCCAGAGACTCCAAACGTTGAATTTCAACTCTAAACCAAAGTCTTTGCTTTTGTGTGTTTGTATTATCATCACATCGTGAACACAAAAGTACATCCTGGCTTCTCAGGGTAGAGAGTGCATTCTCTAAAGAAAGAGAGAGAGAGAGAGACAGCAAAGGTTAGACTGAACGGTAGGTGGTGAATGATTACCATGTTCTCCCCTGTTGGTGTGTGACGTAAACGTAAAGAGGGAGACTCTGATAGAGGAACTGAAAGTGTGGGAAAGAAGAGCCAGCCTGTCTGTTTTTGAATCTCCTTGTGCGTGTGAGAGAGAGAGAACGGGTGTCTTGATTCATCGTCAGTGTTACAGTCATGCAATGCACTCTGTGTGTGCGTGTGTGCTAATGTACCTTGGTGTTACAGTGGAGCCCCCTCCCCTCTTTTTTTTTTTTTCTCCTTTATTGCTCACTGTTACATAACAGCCTCTGCTGCAGAGGAAGAGCACTGCAGAGGGTTCCCGAAACACACACACAGATCTACATTCATTTTCGGGCATTTTTAAGCATTACCTACCCTTAACCTTACCCTAACCTTAAAGCAAGTCTTTAC